GGGTGAGTGGTAGTCAGTGATTTCTTTGATTTTGATTTTCATTAGAAACTTATAATTCTTTTTCAAGGGACAATGTTATATTTGTAGGTCTGTCTTTTTCTGTCTTTTTGTCCCCTTTTATCAGTGTTACCATCTGTATAGTGTGAGGTTTTATTAGTTATGATATAGTTATATTGTTTCTCTGGCAAATGACGGAACTTCATTTATTTTTATTTTATGGAAAATTGCTATATTATGTTAGGAGTTCATTAGGTTTTTGATTTGGAGACTTTCTGTGGAAGAGCAATTTTAGTTTTTTTTTCTTGTTTTTAGAATCTTGTATTACTTCATTTCTTGGTGTATCTGTATTGCTACTTGTTATCATCATCATTTTTTTTCTCTTTAAGTTATTGATGTAGTTGAATCATTGGGTATTGTTTTGTAAAGTCTCATATATTATTGTCTCTGTTTCCTAGTTACTTTCAGATGTCAACATTTCCGAGTTCACAGTCACCTTTGTTAACATCTGTTAAGGATGTGCCACATCAGAGTAGCTATTTGCTAAGTTTTTGAGAGATTTTGTTGATTGATGATTGACATGTGATAGCCCTTCCACTGAGTGTGAAATATCCCTAAGAAAGTTGACCTGCACTAGATAAGACAGCAAGCTTGGCATAAAAGACAATGACTATGTTAGAGAGAAAGCCTGGAAACAAAGATTCTTCATGGTTTTTGCCTTCAGTTGCTAGACTGAATATCTATCTTAAACACTGACAACGATGGATTGTGATCTGGCAGATTGAGTCAAATAAGCACGTTTGTCACCTAAGGTACTTTTGTTAGAGAATTGAATCAGCAAGAAAAAAGCAAGTTATAACAGAATGTGGTAAACGCAAAGTGATTCTGTTGTTCAAAGGTGCTGGAAACGGTGACTTTTGGAGGAATGTTGAACATATCAAAATTTAGATGGCAAAAGACATAGAAAGCTGCATTATGAACTTAATTGGTTTTTCTTCTAATACTTTGAATAAAATACTGCTAAAAGTATTGCAAACAATGGAGGTAGAGGTCAAAGGATTCCAGTGGGAATTAAAATAGTGGTCATGTATGTGATATTTTGGACCCTAACTTTTCTCATTTCCCCATGCCTTTAAGAAATTGATTGAGTAAGGAAGAATTAAAAAAAATAATGGGGGCTGGAGAGATGACTCATAGGTTAAGAGCACTGTCTGCTCTTCCAGAGGTCCTGAGTTCAATACCCAGCAACCACATCGTGGCTCAAAACCATCTATAATGAGATCTGATGCCCCTTTCTGGCATATGGCAAACTTGCAGAAAGAACACTGTTTACATAATAAAAAATAAATCTTTAAAAAAAATAATGGGGCTGATTTCTTAGATGGAATATTGACTTTTTTGCACAGCTATTACTTATGACTCATTCAGTACAACATAACAAAAATCAAGAAGTGGATCATAAATAAATGAAAAGTCTATTGGTTGTAGAGAAAAAGAGCACTATGAATTTGCAGAAGGTAGTCAAATACTGAACAGAGTCAGGAGTGTTCAGGGAGATAATCACCATGCTGTGGGATGGTCTGTATGTCAAATGTGTTGCTGATTGGTCAATGAATAAATCACTGATTGGTCAGTGGCCAGGCAGGAAGTATAGGCAGGACTAACAAAGAGGACAATTGAGAGAACAGGAAGCTGGGTGAAGGAGACACTGCCAGCTGCCATCAGGACAAGGAAGATGTAAAGTACCGGTAAGCCACAAGCCACGTGGCAAGGTATAGATTAATAGAAATGGATTAATTTAAGCTGTAAGAACAGTTAGCAAGAAGCCTGCCATGGCCATACAGTTTGTAACCAATATAAGTCTCTGTGTTTATTTGGTTGGGTCTGGATGGCTGTGGGACTGGCGGGTGTCAGAGATTTGTCCAGACTGTGGGCCAGGCAGGAAAACTCAAGCTACAAATGGCGTCCAACGTGGTGACAAAAGTTTCCACCTAAAAACTGACAAAAGAGTCTAAAACAGAGCTAAAAACAGTTCCTAATTGTCTCTCTCAAATAAGCGGCAGCTGCCGGTTTGAGCTATTGATGGTTTCCTAGCGTGTGCGCTCGACCTGCCGCCGTATGGCGGGAATGAGGCCTCTGCAAGTGGCACATTAAGCTACATTGTGGATTTAGCCTTTGCTAGTACAAAATAAAAAAAGAGGTTTCTGGGCTACATGCTGCTTGGATAAAAGCATAGACCCACAATAGCTCCCAGAGCTGGTGGTAAAGTACCACGCCATGTTGGGAAGCTGAGGTGGGCAGAGCCAGCAGCCACAGCTGCTGCAGCTTAAAACAATAGATTCACAATAAGACAGATTCAGATGTAATAGTTTACAATGTATGTAAAATATATGTAGACTTGAAAGAGACAAAAAAGGTGATATATACAGTATAGAAACAAATACATAGTTTTAAAAAATAAAGTTTTTAAAGAGACAGTAAAATTAATATAAAAAACAAGCCACGTAAAGATGAATATTACACAGAGAGTCTGGATTGTGTTGTCTTTGGGATTTTTAACTGCAGAAAAACATTTGATTACAAAAGCTGTTGAGTTATGCCAATATATATATTTTAAAGGTACCTTGACTTCAAAATTTGGATGTAAGGATATGTTGCTTTGGAAAGGAGGCTCTGCTTTTGTTCCCACAGAAAGCCAGAGGCTATGGATTTGTTCCAGATTAAGATACATCAGGTTTGCCCAGCCAAGACCACCTGAAAGGTCTCCAATCACACCATGGCCCAGATGACCCAACATCCAGAACCGTTTCAAGGCAACTGACTCAGACAATACATCCTCATGGACTACTCCATAATCCTAAAATATTCTTTGTGTCCCCATAGGATACAGCGCCCCCCTCCAGCAGGAAGTAGTAAGAGAAGCTACGCCCAAATTCCCAAATATACCAAGCTGACTTTGGAGCTGTATAAAGGTTAAAACCTTCCTTTTTAAGAACAGAAAAGGGGAAGTGCTGTGGGATGGTCTGTATGTCAAATGTGTTGCTGATTGGTCAATGAATAAATCACTGATTGGTCAGTGGCCAGGCAGGAATTATAGGCAGGACTAACAGAGAGGACAATTGAGAGAACAGGAAGCTAGGTGAAGGAGACACTGCCAGCTGCCATCAGGACAAGGAAGATGTAAAGTACCGGTAAGCCACAAGCCACGTGGCAAGGTATAGATTAATAGAAATGGATTAATTTAAGCTGTAAGAACAGTTAGCAAGAAGCCTGCCATGGCCATACAGTTTGTAAAAAATATAAGTCTCTGTGTTTATTTGGTTGGGTCTGGATGGCTGTGGGACGGGCGGATGTCAGAGATTTGTCCAGACTGTGGGCCAGGCAGGAAAACTCAAGCTACATCACCACTAAAAAAAAGGCTCTTACTCTACACTGGAAGCCTACCAAGGTGCCCTGAAGGTAAGAATCAATCCTTATATGCCCTCATTTAATGGAGGGATTGGGCAAAGTGATTGCCAGTCCCAGGAAGCAACTTTATTCAAGGCCTGCTGCAACTCTGGTCCAAGCATTTCAGAGGTCATCGCAACTTAGAAACCAAATTTGGGGGAATCATTGATGTTGACCTGGTTCTGGAGACCATAATGATATAAAATTTACGATTACACATTTTTAGTCTGCATTTTCAGGTCAGCTCTGGTGTAGGCATCTGTGTTTGATATGGTAAGCGCTCCAGTGAGAAGACTTTGTTCATTGTATGATACTATGAGGGTGAAGCCTGAGTTGTGTTTTGAGACCATAAGATGTTGAAATAATTAAGCTATGAAATATCTTACATAGCGAGATAGCTGCATATATGGAGTGGAAGTAACCATAGAGAGAGATGTATGGGAAGTTGTGGAGAAAGAGCCATCTAAGCCCTTTGAAAATGAAGCCTCATGTCTCTGACATAGAGATAGCTACCATATTCAATAGTTGCCCTGCTGGGCTTCAATCTTTCCTTGATCCAATCGTTCCTCACTGTGTCTTAGTTCCTCTCCTTTGGGATGGTAATGGGTTTTCTGTGCCATTCACATGGAGGAAATATTTAAACTGTTTTCTGATTTTGTAATATGACATAGTCAAGAATTTGTCTTGAGTGTCAAAAGAGACCTTGGACATTTCAACAGTGTAGGGGTTGTTGCCGACTATGAGAATCATTGAAGTGACTAAATGCATTTTCTTCATGGATGACCCTTGAGCCTATTGTGACCTGGGAGAGGATTCAGTTACTTGAATAAAAAGATAGGATGAGGTATTTGAACATATGTCTGTCCTTGATGACTTACTTTGTAGTACTTGCGGAACTTCTGGATAAAATATCTCATTGGGGGTGGCGATATGACTTTTCATAGCCTCAACCCATTTCCTTTTCTATGTTTCTACTATATTGTGGTTGGAATGAATCAATGAGCTTCCTTCTTGTGCTGCCATTACTTCACCACCAGTATAGATAGTATCACTAAATCACATAAAGAAAAACTTTGACTGAGTAGCCCTGACTCTCCTAAAAGTATCTCTGTAAACCAGGTTGGCCTCCAATTCAGAGATTCACCTGACTCTTGCTCCCACATGCTGAGATTAAAGGTTGTTCAACATTCCAGGATTTTTTAAATATATATATATATATATATATATATATATATATATATATATATATATATATAGTGATGGTCTTAGAGTATATGTTTTTGTACATGTCAAGCATATGTTGTTTTGCTGAGCTTTATCCCCCAGTTTCAATTTTGAAATTCAGCAGAAGATACCATTCTCTTCCTAGATGTAGTGTGCATGGGCCTTCTGAATCATTAGATTATAATTGTGTGACATTCTTCTTGCTTTTTGCATTTTTTAATGTTTTTTTTAATGAATATGATTCTTTTGTCTATATACATGGATATGTACCACATATACACCTGTCCTCACAGTAATCCAAAGAGAGTTTTAGAACCCACAAGCTTGGAATAATGAACAGTTGTGTGAGTCCCCCATAAAAGTACTGATAATTGAGACCATCTATATGCAAGACCAGTAAGAGCACACAACTTCTGAGCCATCTCTCCTTCTCTGTGTTGATTATTTATGATCATCATTAATATTGCTAATGTTATCTTCTTTCTATTTGTACCTCTTTAAATGCACAGTTCCTTTTTGTAAAATTTATTAAAGTAGTTTATACTGGAGCAATTCAGTTTTCTGGAAGATGAATACAGAAATGGAATGAATGCCGAACTCTTTGTAGGATCTTCAGTAAAAAAAATTTCTGTGTTCATCTTATCTGTTTTGTTTGTTTGAATGGAAGATTCAGTGCAGATGCAGTTAGCATAGACTAGGCTAACTTTCACCTCAGAAGCACATATACCTGCTTCTACCTCTAAATTCTGGGATTAAAGGCATGAGCCAATATACCCAGCTTACAAATCTTCCATGTAGTTAATAATTGTTCATACAATTTCTCAGATGTGTGCTCAGTACTGTTGAAATGTTTGCTTGTCCCTCTATCTCTGTTAATAGGTATTTCTCTTGCAAGGTGATATCCTGTTCAAAGCATTCAGAAAAAAAAAAGAGATGAACCTCCTATTCAGTTTCTTTGTGAAGTAAGTTGATGGTTTCATTTTAATGTCTGAGTTATAGAATATGTGTAGCACTCACAAGAATTATGTGGCCATATTGTCAAAGAAGCACACATTTACAATGTTGTATTATGCTTTTTGTTTTATACATATGGATGGCATATTTATGTATGGCATATTTTAGAATACAGTGACCTATAATGAAGTGCATGTTGACATCACTCAGGAAGAGTGGTCATTGATGAATCCTTCACAGAGGAATCTCTACAAAGATGTGATGCTGGAGACCTATATGAACCTCACTGCTATAGGTAATACTGTAAATTTTTCTTCACATTTTAAATAAGGGGACAACAGTTACTTGGTTACTGATGCTCTTCTGTAATTCTGCTTGAGAATGAGGCAGAATGAGGTGATTCAAACAAGCTTGGTTCTAAAGATCACTGAAGATAGTAATGTAAATTTTTCAGTTTCCTGTAATATTTCATACATTTCCTTGTTTGATATTTTAGGCTACAACTGGGAAGATCTTGAAGTTGAAGAACACTGTCAAAGTTCTCAAAAACATGGAAGGTAATTTTCTTGTGCAAGCTGATACAAATGGGCCTCTTGACATATTTAACTTATTTGGAAGTGTTAAAGAAATGAAACATTGTAAATAAACACAGCTCAAAATGTGTTGATGATCATTACATGCTAATAAACACACATACCTCAATGGCAGGTAAGTGAATTGTGTTTGCAAGTCATTCTTTTAAGAAGGAAGACAAGGAATCAATGCCTTAACAGAAATCATCATTTGAATAATAGCTTCATCAGAGCTATGCTGTACAAATAACAATCCTTTTAGTTTCATACTATTCAAATTACAAAAGGCATACTCACTGAATATATGATAAGAATATGTACACAGCCTTTTGATAAGCAAATAATCCATAGTAAAAGCGTTGGTACTCAAAAGTTATTCTGTCATTGCTAATTTAATTAGATAGGTGGTTAGAGTCAAGAATTAAAGTGGGGGATGTTGTAGAGAAATAATAATTCCTATACTACATGTTGATGGGGAAAAAAGTCCAACAGTAAATAAAATGTGGAACCCTTTTGGTTGTTATTCTTTCTTTAATAGTTATATCATATGTCACTTTGGATTCCAGCCATATGAACATAAATATATGAAAAGAAGTAATGTAAATCTCTCAATCTCAGAACAATTACAAAACATGTAGCACCCCTATGTTGAGCAAACTTGTTGAATGACATTTAAATTTATAAACAATTGGTTTTCCAGCTTAATTTGGATTAAATCAACAACACATCACAGAAAAGCCCTATGAGTACTAGGCCTGGGTAAATGCTTCTGTTTGTTCTGGTTCACTTTGAAAATGTAGCATTAATCATAGTATAGGAAAGTGTATCAATAGAGTATGTGATGTAAATGTCTGAATTCTTCAAGTTATCTTCAAATATTTAAAAAATCTCAGAGAAAAATGATGCTATAAATATGAGCCAGGTCGTAAAGACTTTTACTATGACAGGCATGTTCAAATATGCAAAGCCATCCTTAATGCAGGGAACAACATAAATGTACACAACACGTTAAAAACTAAAGATAACATAGCTTTATATTCACACAAAATTGTAAAATTAATTCATGCAGATATAAAGACTCAACAATGTAATGAATGTGGCAAAGTTATTAAATGTTTCAATTATCCTTGCAGGCATGAAAGAAGTCATACTACAGAGAAATCATCTGAACACACTCAGTGTGGGCAAGTCTTTGTACATCATAGTCATCTTCCAAGGTATAAAAAAACACATACAGAGGATCAACGCTATGAATATAATCAATATGGTAAAGTCTTTGCACATGCTACTCATCTTCAAGTACATAAAAGAACACATACTGGAGAGAAACCCTATGAATGTAATCAGTGTGGTAAAACTTTTGCTTATCACAGTCACCTTCAAGTACATGAAAGAATACATACTGGAGAGAAACCCTATGAATGTCATCAGTGTGGGAAAGCCTTTGCACAAAATGGTGCTCTTCAAGTTCATAAAAGAACACATACTGGAGTCAAACCCTATGAATGTCACCAGTGTGGTAAAGCTTTTGTTCGTCACAGTACTCTTTTTTTTTTTTTTTTGGTTTTTCGAGACAGGGTTTCTCTGTGTAGCTTTGCGCCTTTCCTGGAACTCGCTTTGGAGACCAGGCTGGCCTCGAACTCACAGAGATCCGCCTGGCTCTGCCTCCCGAGTGCTGGGATTAAAGGCGTGCGCCACCACCGCCCGGCTCGTCACAGTACTCTTAAATTGCATGAAAGAACACATACTGGAGAGAAACCCTATGAATGTAATCATTGTGGGAAAGACTTTGCTTGTCATAGTTATCTTCAAGTTCATGAAAGAACACATACTGGAGAGAAACCCTATGAATGTAATCAGTGTGGGAAAGCCTTTGCACAAAATGGTGCTCTTCAAAGGCATAAAAGAACACATACTGGAGAAAAACCCTATGAATGTCATCAGTGTGGTAAAGCTTTTGTTCGTCACAGTACTCTTAAATTGCATGAAAGAACACATGCTGGAGAGAAACCCTACGAATGTAATCAGTGTGGGAAAGCTTTTGTTCATCACAGTACTCTTAAATTCCATGAAAGAACACATACTGGAGAGAAACCTCATGAATGCAATCAGTGTGGTAAATCTTTTGCTTATTACAATCATCTTCAAGGGCATGAAAGAACACATACTGGAGAGAAACCCTATGATTGTAATCAGAGTGGGAAAGCCTTTGCACAAAATGGTGTTCTTCAAAGGCATAAAAGAACATACTGGGGTCAAACCCTATGGATGTCATCAGTGTGGTAAAGCTTTTGATCGTCACAGTACTCTTCAATTCCATGAAAGAACACACTGGAGAGAAACCCTATGAATGTAATCAGTGTGGGGAAGCCTTTGTTCGTTATAGTTATCTTCAAGGGCGTGAAAGAACACATACTGGAGAGAAACCCTGTGTATGTAATCAGTGTTGTAAAGCTTTCACTTATCACAGACATCTTCAAAGGCATGAAAGAACAAATGCTTGAGTGAAACCATACAATTGTAATCAGTGTGGTAAAGCCTTTTCTCATCACACTGCTCTTCAGTTTCATGGAAGAACACATATTTGAGAGAAACCCTATGAATTTAAACAGTGTGGTACAGCCTTTGCACACCCTATGTCATCTTCAAGTATATAAAAACACATACCAGAGAGAAACCTTTTGAATATTATCAATGTGGTAATGCCTAGTGAAAACACAGCAACCCTGTAAGTATAAAACTTTTAGTGTGTAATTGTTATCTTAAAACCTTAGAATATAACATTAGACTTTGAAGATCTGAAAAAAAATACCAAAGGAAATCTGAATATATATAAATTGGTATGATCTTTAGCCAACATACTTACATTCAATTACACATGATTAATTATTTTGGGAAAAAATCTAAAATGTGTCAATAATCTTTTCAAGCATTATAATGTCTCTTTATTTTGTTTACCCCTGTCAACTAATATGGATAAAAGGCCTATAAATTTAAATGATAAGGTAACCCTTTTAGATTTCATACAACTCTTCAAATACATGAAATAATAAATTCTGGTATAAAATTTCATAGATGTGTATCATTGCTTTTCTGTTGCTTTGATAATGGATCATATCTAAGTGAACTTAGAAAAGTGTTTAATTTAGCCCTTGGTTCCAGAGCAATACATGAACCCTGTAAAAGTGGCATGGAACAAGTGACAGACATGGCAGTTAAAGCAAGAGGCTAAGAATTCACATTCTTGTCCTGCAGCATGAAGAAGAATGTAAAGTGGAAATGGTATGCAGACAGAAACTCTCAGGCCAATCTCCAGTGACAGATTTCTTACACCAGGGTACCATTTCTTAAGTCTTCCCAAATCATATCACAGATTGAAAATGATTTATTTCTCTAACTTCGAGTTTCTATGCTTTCTTTCTGAAACATGGACAAATTCATGATAGAGAAAAACTCTGTAATCATTTAAATGCCTCAAAACCCATGGTACCAGAATTATAATAGAAAAACATTCATGATTGAAAGTTAGTTTTAATAATTATTTTTATTTTAATTAAGCAATATCTGTATATCTTTCTGTGGGTATATGTATGTGCATTCTAGTTCCCAAGAAGGTAGACCCTTGGCCCTTCTTATAGCAGGAATTACTCCATGTCATCGAAAACCAGACATTGGTTCAGGAAATGAACTTATATTAAAGGCATGGCCATTTCTCTATCCCTGTCAACATTTTAGTCAGTATTCCTTTTTTTCCCTGTGTTTCGAGACAGGGTTTCTCTGTGTAGTTTTTTGCCTTTCCTAGACCTCACTTTGTAGACCAGGCTGGCCATGAACTCACAGAGATCCACCTACCTCTGCCTCCCAAGTGCTGGGATTAAAGGTGTGTGCCACCACTGCCCAGCCCCTGTCAACATTTTAAACCTCTTTATATTATCTTGATACCAGGAAATATATAAGTACTCACACAAAACAAACCCTACTTATGTAAACTTTATGTAAGACTTTAGACATCACAATTATTTTCAATTTCTTGGAAAAAAACCCCTTGTTTTAAGTGTTTTTCCTTGTAGCTTTGAAGTAAGTAAGTTATTAACCAAGTTCACTAAAGACTGATGTGAAGACTACATTGTGGCTTCTATTTTGCAACATGAGAGATATTGAAGTGTGCTATATGTGTGACAAATTCAATTAGTGAAGTTTATTTTGTGGTTCTTTCATTCCTTCTGTGGTTTTTGTTCATCTTTTTTGACTTTCATGTTGTGAGAGGTAGTTATCTGGTGCAATGTATTAGAATGGGATGGCGATCATCTAAGTGTTTGATTTTTATTTAAGTCTCAGGCAGTATGTGATCACACTTTTCAAGTAAGGGTGTTTGTGAAAGGCTAGTGGATTTTTGTTCTTGGTTTTGTTTTTAAAATTTTTTCACAAATTCCCTTGAAATATTGTTTGTTATCCAGCTTGGTTTGAATGTCAGTAATTAGTCATGGATACATTAGAATTCATGATCCTTGTGTTTCAGTTTCCTGAGCACAAGTCTAAGGGTATATGATGTACTTTCATTGATTGTTGTTTTGTCAAAAGTGTAGAGAAAAGGGGCTGGTTAAAGAAACCCACAATGACCCTGGAGTCCTGAACTAGAAAAAGATGACTCAGATAAAGGCAGTTGAAAAAAAAACACTTTGGCTCAAATCAATGCCATCTCTGCTCCTGACCAACTGACTTGTGAAACCAACCAATCACAGAACAGGATAGTAGAATCCTGTCTCTAGGTCTCAGAACCAGGGAAAGAAACACAACTTGTATTTTGGACCTAGCCAGAGAAATGAAAGAAGGAAACGTCCTGACTCTGAAATTGGTGTCAAAATAACACTCTTGGTCCCTAGAATCAGAGTCAGTGAAAGAAATGAGCCCTGGCCTTAAAGGTAGTGTAAAAAAGCCAAGAAAGGCCAGTGAAAGAAAAACAATTTGTCCCTGTAATCAGGACCTTCTCTGTCCTTAGATCACAAAACTGGTCAATTGTTGATCAGACAAAAAAAACTGATTGATTGACTCCATCCCCAAAACCTCCTATATAAGCTGCCCTGCCAGGTCATTTGCAAGTTGTTCTCTCCACCCTGGTAGAAGGAACTACTATCCTGACTCCTCCTTCAGAAAATTAATCTCTCAAAAGTGTATTGGTTGTGAAGAGTTTCATTCCATGGTGCACAGAAGAACCTTGTTGAGACGTTTCAAGTTGGATGGAGCAAGGGGGATCTGAACAGAAAAACTTTGCTGAGACATCTCATAGTGGATTGTGCAAGGGGGAGATGAACAAAATAACCTTGCTGAGATGTCTCACAGTGGATTGAGCAAGGGGGAGCTGAACAGAAGATCCTTTCTGAGTAGACAGAGCAAAAGAGCTGAAAAGTATCACTTTTCCTCCAAGTCAGAGGAAATTGCTACATTTTTGTAATTTCTTTACCCAGAGAAGCAGGGATTTGCTAGGAAGCCCCCTTATGTGGGTGCTGAGCAAATCTCAGCTGTACCGGCTATTCAGGAGAGGAGCAGGATTGCTGTATCCTGCAGGGAGACCATCAGCCATCACATCAGGTGAAGCCTGACTTTCCCAAAGAGTCAGGACACCCTTCCCTGCTGAAGCACTTCCAGGCTTGACTTTCTTGAGATGTCAGAAAATCTTGCCTCTAGGGTTGGGCTAAACAGCTCCATGTGTCCAAGACACCTTTCAGGGCAGAGTTGTTGTTTTGAGAAGCTTGATGTGTCTGGGATACCTTGCCCTCTAGGACTGAATTGTCTCTTAGCAGTTACAGCCATCAGAGATGGGGTAAACAGCTCCAGGTGTATAGGACACCTTCAGAGCAGACCTAATATTCTGAGGAGCTCAAGGCATCCAGGATACTTTGCCCTCCAGGGCTGAACTGTCTCTTTGCAGTTCCAGCTGGCAGAGTTGTCCTAAGCTTCTCAAAGTGTTTTCTGACTCCCAGGTACTCAGGACACCTTTGCTCAGAGTTGCAAATCTCCCGTTTTGGTGGGAAAATTGGAACGAAACCCAGAGTTGTTGCAACCACTTTACTTACAAATACATTTTAATGGTGTTAATTTTAAAATACTTAATAGATTATATAAAAAAATCATTAAACACTTCATGTATGTATCCAAAGAAACATTTTCTTCTATCCCATGCATCTCTATGTCCTCATCTGTTATGCATTTGGCACTTCATCCCAAAGTATTGTCTTCTAAGGGAATTATCCAGAGATGCCAGATAATGTAATAGCAGTGAGATTTACTTTGTGAGGTCTACTTTTGTCCAACTTCATATGGTGATCAAGATAACATTACAGCCTTGCACAAGAAAGGCATTTCCAACACAGCTGTCTCATTGATGCTAAAATAAGATTAGTTGTATTATTAAATCAATAAAATACTGTCTTTTCAGATTATAAACATATTTTCATTGAAAAATAAAGCAAAGTAGGAGATATTGAATGATAAATCCTATTTGCAAGTGAAAATGATATATTGCTATCTCTTGTTTTTCATTTAATTGCATGTGAAATTATTCAATTTATTCTGATGACCAAACATTTGTCATAGCAGTTTCTCAGATCAACAAATGAATGTGAGAGAATATCTTGAATGTCAGTTATTAGTCATGGATATTATATGAATTCATGATCTTCATGTGTAAATCTCCTGAATACAAGTCAAAGGGTAGATGATTTACTTCTAATAATTGTTATTTTTTCATAATATTTTAACAATATTAATGTTAAAATACTTAATAGAGTATATAAAAACATTAAATGCTTACATGAGTGTGGAAAGAAACATTTTCATCTATTTGGAAGAGATTTAATAATTTAAGTTAATCAGTAATCAGCTGAATATTTTATAATAGAAATTGATGTACTATTATATGTATATATTATTTCACATTCCATGCATCTTCATGTCCTCAACGTTTATCTATTTTGCATAATACCTTGAAGTATTGCCTTCTAAGGGAATTATAGAGGTACCAGATAATGTAATAGCAGTGATATTTACTTAAAAAAATTTGGTGTGTGTGTGTGTGTGTGTGTGTGTGTGTGTGTGTGTGTGTGTGTGTGTGTGTGATATGTGACTATGGGTTGTTAGGCCATGACAGAAATGTGAAGAATAGAAGACAACTTTGTCAGGTCTACTTTTGTCCATCTTCATATGGTGATCAAAATGACGTGATCAACTTTGTGCAACACAGACATTTCTTGTTTGGTTTTTTTTTTTTTTTTTTTGGTTTTTCGAGACAGGGTTTCTCTGTGTAGCTTTGCGCCTTTCCTGGAACTCACTTGGTAGTCCAGGCTGGCCTCGAACTCACAGAGATCCGCCTGGCTCTGCCTCCCGAGTGCTGGGATTAAACACAGACATTTCTAACAGAGGTGTCTCATTGATGTTAATGTAAGATTAACTTAGACATTAAAACAGTAAAATATTGTTTTTTTTCTGGTTGAATAAAAATTTTCTTTTAA